AGTGGTGATTTTGAGAAGGTTCATCTAGCTGATGATGAAACCTTGAAGATCGTCGGAAAAGGAGACATCCGATTAAAGTTGCCAAACCAGACCACCTGGAAGCTGACAGGAGTGAGACATATTCCTGGCCTCAAAAGGAATTTGATTTCTGTAGGACAGCTTGATGGAGAAGGATATAGTATAACCTTTTCAGGCTGTGAATGGAAGATTACCAAATGAGCACTCGCCATTGCTCGTGGTAAGAAAACTGGTACTCTCTATATAACCTCAAATTTAGAGAATATCATTGCAGTAGCAGATGCTGATGGAAAATCAAACCTATGACACCAAAGGCTTGGCCATATGAGCGAGAAAGGGATGAAGACACTTTTGTCAAAGGGGAAGTTGTCGGATCTAAAGAATGTAGATGTCAGACTATGCGAGGATTGCATCTTTGGCAAACAAAAGAAAGTCAGCTTTGCAAAGATTGGTAAGACACCCAAGGCTGAAAAGTTAGAGTTGGTTCATACTGATGTATGGGGACCATCTCCAGTTCCATATCTTGCAGGCTCATTATATTATGTCACCTTCATCGATGATTCTACAAGGAAGGTGTGGGTTTATTTTCTGAAGAAAAAATCATAAGTCTTTGATACCTTCAGAAAATGGAAGGCCATGGTGGAAAATGAGACTGGTCTGAAAGTTAAGCGGTTGAGGTCTGATAATGGAGGAGAGTACAAAAATCGTAGATTCAGAGAATTTTGCGCAAACAATGGGATCAAGATGGAGATAACAATTCCCATGACACCGCAACAGAATGGCGTAGCAGAGCGCATGAACAAAACTCTGAATGAACGCGCCAGAAGCATGAGGATACATGTCGGATTGCCCAAATTTATATGGGCTGAAGCTATCAACACTGCAGCTTACCTGATCAACCGTGGGCCCTCAGTTTCTTTGGATGGCATAATACCAGAGGAAGTTTGGAGCAATAAAGAAATAAACCTTTCAAACTTAAGAGTGTTTGGTTGTATTTCTTATTTACACATAAACTCTGCTGAAAGAAGTAAACTTGATGCCAAGTCCAACAAATGTGTCTTTGCTGGTTATGGTGGTGATGAGTACGATTACCGGTTTTGGGACTACGAAAATCGGAAGATTATCAGAAGCAGAGATGTCATTTTCAATGAGAATGTGATGTACAAAGATAGGTCAACCATGGAATCAAGTAGCTCCAACACCGAAGCTGGAACACATGAATTTGTTGAGTTTGAGGATATTTTTGGAAATGATGTTCAGATCGCTCCTGAAGCAGTTCAAGAAGAACCAGTCACACCAAAACTGAGACGCTCCTCCAGAATTCCTAAACCAACCCAACGGTATTCTTCTTCTTTACACTACTTGTTGTTGACTGACAATAGTGAACCAGAGTGCTATGATGAAGCAATGCAAGTGGAGGATTCAGTCAAGTGGGAGTCTTCCATGAAAGATGAGATGGAATCGCTTATGTCAAATCAGACGTGGGAATTAGCTGAATTACCAAGAAAGCACTCTACAACAAGTGGATTTACAGGATCAAATAAGAGCATGATGGGAGCAAACGCTACAAAGCAAGATTGGTTGTCAAAGGTTTTCAGCAAAAAGAAGGTATTGACTACAATGAAATTTTTCTCTCCAGTCGTAAAATTGTCCACAATCAGACTGGTGTTGAAAATTGTAGCTGCATAGAATTTACATCTTAAGCAGTTAGATGTAAAGACAACTTTCCTTCATGGTGATTTGGAGGAAGAAATCTATATGAGGCAGCCATAAGGCTTCATAGAGGCAGTCAAGAAAACCCTGGATGCAGGTTGAAGAAGAGCTTGTATGGTTTAAAACAAGCTCATAGACAATGGTACAAGAAGTTCGATAGCTTCAAGAGTAGCAGTGGTTTTACCATATGCCAAGCAGATCATTGTTACTACATCAAGAGGTTCGATAATAGCTTCATTATTTTATTATTGTATGTTGATGACATGCTCGTTGCAGGCTCAGACATGCAAGAGATTATAAACTTGAAGCAAAAATTGTCGAAGCAGTTTGCTATGAAGGATATGGGCGCTGCAAAGAAAACTCTTGGGATGAGGATTAAGAGAGACACAAGGTCGGGGACTTTGATGTTATCACAGGCAGAGTACATCAACAAAGTGCTCTCCAGGTTCAACATGCAAGATGTTAAACCAGTAAGTACACCTTTAGGTGTTCATTTTAGACTCTCCAAAGAACAGTCACCAAAGACAGAGGAAGAACGTGCACACATGGTGAAGGTGTCGTATGCCTCAGCAATTGGAAGTCTAATGTATGCCATGGTTTGTACCAGACCAGATATTGCTCAAGCAGTGGGAGCTGTTAGCAGGTACATGAATAATCCAGGCAAGGTACACTGGGAAGCAGTCAAATGGATCCTCAGATATCTGTGCGTTACTACAAACAAAGCACTTTTTTTCAAAGGTGTAGATACGATACTGACAGGCTATGTAGATGCTGACTTAGCTGGAAATGTTGACATCAGAAGGAGCACTACAGGGTATGTCTATACTCTAGGAGGAACCGCAGTGAGTTGGGTTTCTCAACTACAAAAGATAGTTGCTCTCTCCACAACTGAAGCATAATATGTCGCTGTTACGGAAGCCAGCAAGGAGATGGTTTGGCTCCAAAGTTTCTTGGAAGAGTTAGGCAAGAAACAAGAAAACAATGTCTTGTATTGCGACAGTCAAAGTGTTATACATCTAGCAAAGAATACATCTTTTCATTCCAGGACAAAGCATATACAATTGCGATATCATTTTATCCGGTCTCTTCTGGAAGATGGGATTTTGAAACTTGAAAAGATCAGTGGAGCTCAAAATCCGGCAGACATGTTGACAAAGACGGTGGCTACAGACAAACTGAAGTTATGTTCAACTTCAGTTGGCATGCTAGAGTAACAAGACTAGAAAAGTTGTTGCATTGATCGAGGTGTGAAGACAGATTAAAATCAATCTTCAAGTGGGAGATTGTTGAAAGCATTGTTAAAATGATTTTCAAGTTTGGCAACCAACTTTGAAAAAATGGTTTTCAAAGTTTGGTAAATGTTTCTTTGAAAAATAGTTTTTCAAAGTTTGGTAGATGTTTGTTGAAAAATGATAATGGGATAATCATAATTAATCCCTAGGCTTTAGGGTATTTACAAGATTAAGTCATTAGTTTCAACTATAAATACCCTAGCTCATTTAGCTTCAAAACCATCCCAAAAATCATTTCTTTCTCCCAATACTAGAGAGCTTTCTTGTGAGTAGTGAGTGTTTTGTAAACACCTATAAATTTTCTCTCTTAGTAAAAGATCTGCAGCAGTCCGGAGACGTAAGCACAATTGGCTGAACTCCATTATCAATTTCGGGTATTATTTTTCCGCTTTTATTTCGCATTCTCACTAATCTGGTTATAAGGGAAATTACTTGTACTCAGTTTATTTCCCAACACTACCCATGCAAACATGGTTGACTCAACACGAGCTATGACATACCTCGAGATATAGGTACTCGATTCCTCCTTTTATGTTGCTTGTATCCAAACGGATTGAACGCTTTAGCTCGCTCTACGCCCCACAATGGATGTTTTAAATGATAAATAAATCTTTCCCTGTGGATGTTTTAAATGAATTTTTTTTCCACGTGGACATGTATACTCTGAGATCTTTTTTGTGTTCCCTATTTTATTTAATCAAACCAGTACTTACGGAACCTGAATCAAACCCATAGGACCAGGGTAGTTCAACTCCAAGTCCCTTTGAAGTTCCCTGCTGTAACGGTATGGTTCCTTTGTATCCTCTCAATTCAGTCTCTTTTGAGCTTTCTGCTAGCTATCAACTTAACTGTTACTCGGACAAAGCGCTTATTGAATCTTAGTTCGATGACATTCAATCGATACCTGTTGGCGACACACTTAAGCTTTCCTCATATGATGCACCACCAACAATTGAGTTTAGCAGGGCCTTCTCATTTATCATCTAGAAAGAAGTATCTCGTACGTTGCCTCACTCCATTTTTTTCTCTTTTCAGTTTCCTTGTACAATCGTAAACTGATGCGCAAGCATTAGAATCATCATATGCACGATTGTGGAAACAAATTGTCTTTACTTTTACTCTCGCCTTAGCTCGAGGTCCCGAAAGCACTCAACCAGAGGGATCGAAAAATGTGTGCATATGTAATTTAATTAATGATTTAGATAACATTAGTGTTCTCAACCTTGAGGTAGTTAGCGAAATGAAAGCCCGTTCTAATTATAAGTCAGGAAAATGACCGTACCGCAGAATCTGTAGGAGTGTTAGCTCAAGGGTGGGATTCCTTAACAGTTCCTCTTAGAGGCTGAAGGTTGTTCGACAGTAATAATATCGGGATAAGAAAACAAATCAAAGAAAGACAAATTGAGTTGGAGGTTCGCAGAACACTATATATCAATTTAGCCAAGGGGTTATTTATATGTAATTTAGCCTCTGAATTCATCTTCAACAGAAATTGCACTAGGGCACTAAAGTTGAGGTGTCGCAAGCAAGGTTGTCCGAGTACGGTGTCAGACCCGAAGGTCTCAACTGAATGGAAAGAGAGACCGGGAATGTGTTCTCCACATATGGTTTCTCCAGGATCTTTCAGACCTGGTTTGATAAAGCTAGGTTTTGGAGGATCTTGGGGTGGGGCATTTTTAAGTAAAGACTGACTACAATTAAATCACGACACAGGGAATCACGACACTATATATTTGTTTTGGTAGACCGTCTCCCGAGCCCTCTTTTGGTGCAATATTAGAGAGCCCACTACTGCTTTCTCAATCCAAAAATGAAACTGTCAAGATTAGCCTACTGCTCCTTCTACTCCTCTTCCGTATCCGTAACCTTCATCGTCGTTGGACCTTCTGCACTGTTCATATACATCATCGTACATTTTCAATGAAATTTGTGCCTTCAATGAAAAGTCTTTTTCAGGGCTATGGGATTTGAATCCAATTCTTCCACGATCCCCCACGAATCAATCAAAAACCTACTTACCAAATACGATCCGGTACGTACTTGACTGAGTTGAGCCAACAAACGACGACAGATCCGCTGTAAGTACTATTTCAAGTCCAACGTTGGCATTTACTCTCGACTTAATTTACTTGCTTACTTTTTGATACGTTTGCTGGAGAAAGTCGGTTAAATAGAATAATATAGGATAACCGAACTCAAACTCACGATCGCCATATACGAGATTTTTTTTTTCTATATGAAATTTTAGGGTCAATAGTTAGTTGTACAGCATTCCACAACGGGAACCAATCGCAGAGAAAGTCCATGTGACCTCATGATTAGATGAAGAGATTAATCCATCATACTTAACAAACCTAGGGGTTAGATTCCATCTTCTATATACGCAACCTCTGAGATATAAGGAAAATCCATGTAACACTAGGAATTAACCTCCAAGAAAGGGGGAGAAGGAGCGTGTGATTCCCTGATTATAACTAAGACGGAGGGAGCTCCACCTAGAATAAACACACAAAAGGGATAGAATGCCTTCCTTCTCTTAGGATATTTCTTAAAATAAAAGAGGTGGTATTAGTTTTGAAAAGAAAACAAAGCCATTGTTTATCCAATTAATTGCTAATTATAACAATAAACTCGAACCGATCGTTTTGAGTGAAAGACAATATAGGTAAAAGGGTTTAACTTATCAACAGCAGACGGGGCTAAGCTAAGCTTTATTGCAAATTCAAAGCTGGGAACCAAGCTAAGGATTCATGACTAGCGCGAAAGCCTTGCGAACAAATAAGCATAACCCTTCAATCGACCAAGACTCCCGACACGAGGACTCCTTCGATATGCACTTTTATGTAAAGTGGTTTTAGATGCATGGTCATTGCCTCAGTAAGTCGATCTATGATGACTCGTGATGAGCTTACTACTCGTAGGAAGCTTGTAATCTTTTTATTTTTGAAGATGTTGATCATAGGAATACCTTTTAACAATGTAACAAATTCAGTCTGCTTCTCCTATTGTTTGTTTGAGAACTTGTCATTCTTCTTCGAGTTTTTAAGTCCCTTGGACTCTACTCTATCTAAATCAGATATCTTTAGAGCTAATTAATTAATAAAGGCTAGGGCACTATCTAGAGACTGTGGCTGTCTAGAGTAGAGTCGAGGCTAGTGGGAGCGTGGGAATGAATTACTTTTTCGTTTTTTTAGGCATGTCTAAGTAATGAGCCCTCCTTAAGGATTTCGGGAAGAAGAAGAGAATTATGTATCTCAAGAATAAAGAAATGTGGTTTAATCAAAAAAGTCTTTTTCATGCTTTGATCGAGAATGCTTGCTGGCAAGCTTACGTACCAAAGCAGCTGACTTGTTTATTATGCCTTTTCCGTTAGCTACTTAGAATGAACCATACAAAAGTGATTTCGAAAATTGTTATACGACATTTGATGATCCCAGAAAGAGGAACTTTGTCACGGACAAGGGAGATATCAATGAAAAAAACTTATGAGCAGCAAACTACTAGCTTAGTGAATCGATCTCTAGCGTCTTCAGGGATTAGTGGTTCTTAGAAGGTGATATCTAATACCAGGTTTCGAAACAAAGAGCACATTTGACTCCAAAAATAAAAGGAATGAAGCCTATTTCCGGAGGAGTGAGGCATGGGAATATGATATTGAATGCCCTATCTAGAAATAGAAAGAAATGAATCAACTATCGAGAAAAAATTGCTATCTTTTCCCTTTATCGTTTACTCAAAAGATATGTTCCATCTTACTCTTTTTCTCATGCGAGGTAATAAAATTACAATAGAGGGCAATGCCTGCGAGCCTAGCTATCTCGCTAGGGGAAGATACAACTGATGACCACTTACTTAACTTAATGCATTCCTTACAAGAATATTTCAACACTATCGGGAATACAAGGAAGTTCACTTTCAATTCTCCTTCTCAGGTCTGATCAATTGACATAGGAAATGCCATATGAAAGGTCAGTAACTCTTTCAACGTAGACAACTTAAACTCATAATACCATAACCAACCTAGTTCTTTCTTTGAGAAAACACAAGTTTGATTATTTTTCGTGGGTCTTGGTAGGAAACAAAAATTGGATTGTTTTTAAAAAAACACAAGAAAACATAATGTAAGAATGATAGCTCCTCTCGGATCTTGGGGTTGGTGAATGCTTTCTCTCATTTCTTCCCACTCTTGCGTTTGAATAATTAGAAACCATCGACGAACTTGATCCATTCACTTTTCTTTAAATCTAATGCCCCTTCTTAAAGAAAGTATACTTGCCATTAACATTACATATGATATTTTTGCGGCCATTTTTTTGTAGCTAATGAGCCGTATCCTTGATCCAGAAAAAATTTGTTGTCTTCAGAACCATCGACTATGAATAATGTGAAGAGATTTACTACATTAGCACCTTAGGAATTCATACCAGATGAAAAACTATAGGTCCTGCTCCCAAGTCGTGTTGAATCAAAACTCTTCTTGTTAAATCGAAAGTGAGAGAAGTGATCTGAGGTTGACATCACTAAGGAAAAATAATAAGAAAGGCCTATAATGATTAACTTAGTTAGTCGTCTCCTATCTCTATAAGAAGGATGATTACAAGCATGTGCTTGAAAGAGGTCCTTGGGTAATTGGGGGACATTATTTGACAATTTGGGAATGGTCACCGAATTTGAGTCCTGTTGATGATAGTTTTAAAAACTAATAGATTGGATCTGGCTTCGTAGTGTACCTATGGAATATTATAATCTACTGGCTTTAGCTAAAATAAGAGCTATTGTCGGCCCATGTATGAGTTGCATGTGGTCGGTCATCAAAAGTCACTGGGTCATCAATCAGACAAATGTGTGATATGTGAGATAGAATGCCCACCTTTATACAATCCATTTTTGCTTGCCTCTCACTAAAAAATGGGCAAAGGAGCCTAAGAAAAGATAGGTGGGGCTAGGGAGGGCGGCTTCATACTATTTCATCCAAGATGACAGGCAAGGATAGATTGCGAGCAGAGAAAGAAAGGGATTCAACTATTGATTAATTATTCGATCTCACTTAAGATGTGTTACCTCTAGCCAATAAAGATCTTAGTTATTGTTGAGTGATCTTCAATGCTAATTTTCCTTGCAAGTTGATTCCTAAACTCTTGAATAGGTATTACAAATCTTAATGTATGGAACCTGCAACTATATTGAGGAGTAATGAAAGAGTTTCTATGACAATGAGGTCATTCAAGAATTTAGGCTTGCTTTGATGATGGGTAGGCTCACCCTTCTATGGGATTGTTTTCACCGAAACAGGCCCAATTCCTCATTTGTAGGACTTTCTTTGATGGTCCATGTAGGCACCTTTGACGACTTAGTACATGGATGCCACAAGTCTATTGACATAGATTGTGGAATCTTTTCCATGTAAGCTGCTTATGCAAAGTTAGTTAGGTTGTTCACACAGGAAGTTTGATTATGAGGGCTTTACAAGGTAATTAGTTTGCTCATTAAACATACATGTATAGTACTCAACTGTAAAAAATAAGGATTATGTCTATTATCAAATTCATGATGCATGGAAGAATTACTCTACTTCTACTCTATAAATATAAATGGAGGCTCGATAAGTATCTTCACTTCATCAAATTCAAATAAAAAATTTGAGTACTACTATGCATGTAAAAAGGCTTTATGTTATTTTTGTCGAAATGAGGCAACTGGAAAATGAAATTCAAGAATGTCGTAGAGCGTTAAACTTTCTTTTAAGAAGTCTTAGAACAATAGATCATGCAAGAAAAGAAGTGTGCATCATATATGGAATAGAAAACAAGGTGAACCTTGTCTACCAAGACATATAATCTTAGTGGGTGGGATAGTTAAACTCCTATCTCCATATCCTCTGTTGGGATATTTCTCCCTAAGACCAATGGTTGCGACTAATGTCATAACTAGAATAGAAAACACGGTAAAGGTACCTAAGATTACATCAGCGACATCACACTTCTCCTAATCTCGAACGATATATTGGTGTGAGGCCACTCTCGGTTCAACATCGGTAACAGATCGAGAGGTGGCCCTATTAAATTGTCCAGAAGTAGCACTCCCTCCCTATGAGGTCATCTACCCCTCTAAACTGATTGCGTTGACTTTTGAGTCGACACTAGGGCCGTACTCCACGCCTTAGGGCAATTTCTAATGAAGTGGTCCAGAGAACTACACCCAAAACATCCTCTAGACCCTTACTGGCAAACTCCCGAGTGTCTCCTACCAGAGACTGAGTAATCAGGCTGAGAAGGTTCTCTCGATGAACCATTAACGCTTTCCACAAAACATGATGCCAAAGGTCTCCTACACTTAGATCTGTCCCTTTTGCTTGCACTCTATTTGGACCTACTAGACTGACTTGATAGAGCCATCCAGGATCCTTAAGAGTCCCTAGCCCTCTTGGCTGAAGGCTGGGAAGATATCGAGGACTCAACTACCCTCCTACTCTATCTAGATATGGTGTCAGATGCTCTAGCCCTCATCCTCATAACCCTCTCTATCACATTCACCTGGCGAACCAACTCAGCAAACACTCTTGATGGGTCGACGGCTAGATGGTAAGGATGTTCAAGTGGAGAACCTCCCTGAACCTCCTACAACGATGGTACTGAAACGCCACCAACTCTAGTGCGTGCCGACTCAAATGGAGGAACTCTCTATCATACTCAAACACAAACAAATCTTCATGGGTCAAGTGTAGGAACCGGTCCCTCAAATTATTCGCATGGGACTCGCCTATATACTTCTGGCGAAACTCCTCCAGAAAGTGCACCCTAGTGGGTTGCTAGGGCTCCATTGCCATATTGACAATCTCCCACCAATCTTGGCGACACCCTTCAGCAGAGTAATGACGCACTCTAACATACCCTTAGGGGTGAGATGTAGCTGGCAGAATATTCTTAGGGTCTTTTGCAACCACTAGTCAACAACATCTATCTGGTCATCATCTTTGGAGTTGAAAAAGTATATAGTCTAATACCTCTGGAGCCACTCAATTGAGTACTCATGTGGTGCTACAACGGGAGGGGTTGGGAGAGCTTGTTGGGTAGGTGGTATTATGTGTGTTCTGGGAATGGTCCTAACTATGCATCTCAGGGCGGTTGTCAGGTCTCGAAAGAAGATCGCCTCGTCGACCCCCACGTCCATCGGGATCTCATACTCAGAATCCAAGATAATCTCGTTGCTGGTATCCATCGCTAGGGAAACTCTTGTCTCATATCTACTTTCATAGCTCTAGGCGGGACTATCATCCATGTCTAAACTCTGAAATTAAGACAAAACGAAGTATCATTATCACTATCCCATACATGATAATACCCTTGACTCCTTAGAAACATATATACCTATAGATTTTTACTGTCTCTAACCCACGAGTCTTAGGAAATAATAAATCTAACGCTCTAATACCACTAAATGTACCACCTTAATTCGATACAACACAAAATCGCCTAATTAGAGTGCCATACGGGAGCACCAGAGCAGCTAACCCAAAATTTTTTCTTTATAACCATTGTAACTTTGAAAGTAATATCATTTCAAGAATAAATAAAGCAACATACTTAAAATAATGTTTACATCGAGAGCTTCAAAAAATAAGTATATCGAAATAGTACCACCTAGTATCTAAATAAAGTTGTGACTCAAGTACAATAAGGTTTATGAATTATATATGCCTTCTAAAGAAATGACTCAAGACGTACACTGTAACTCGGACTATCGGGAATATTGACCGAGCGATATGCTCCTCGAATTATCCTCTTAACGACCTGCGCACAAAAACAATTTCTGAACACTGAACTTACTAACCTAGTGACACACTAACAATTAAATCATATTAAAAATGTTCATTAAATGCTCATTCTATCGAGTGCAATAAAAGAGTGAGTATACTCATATACTTCATTCTATTCTCAGGTAGACATCATGGTGTTGTCAGAGGGTTACACATCTCGGGACACACACCCCTTTAATCTCTACCTAGGGTGAGATTCAAAATCTTTACGTTGGATATAACACCCAACTAACCCACCCCTCGCGGGTGTTCGAGCCTCACGCCTTTGTTAGTCTCAAAGTGCGTCGCGTGCTACCTAAGGATATCTGGATAATCTATACTTTGAAGTTATTTTCATCTACTAAAGTAATTCGGGTGTCTTAACAGTTTTCCCAAGCATCAACCAAGGCTAGTTTTATGTCATCCTAGTTGATATTGTTTATATCTATACTTGCATGTCAATTATTGTTCTCACTTGAAATCCTATTTGATGTTGTAATAGTGTTTTTGGGTCCTCGACATTTCTTCTAATTCACTTGGGTTTCTTACCCATAAATGTTCTACGGTATCGATACTCCCCTTGGTATCAATACTATAGAGTTAAAACAAGATGAAAAACGGTTAGTGATATTGATACTATTGGACCAGTATCGAGTCAAGGGCTAAGATATCGATACTCTCTGTGAGTACTGATACCAAAATTGACTACTAGAAAATCGGTCTTAATACCCCTCCTGCGAATCTCGAAACCAGGCCTATGGTATCGATACTCAATGAATGAGTATCAAAACTTCTGTACTAAAAGTTCCTTCATTTTGATCATCACAATAACAATATCGATACTGTTCTTCCAATACTAATTACCTAAATCCAAAAATGCCCTGTTTGGACATGAGTTTGACTCCTAAAGTTACCCAAAATGCCCTATTGAGGTCCCCAAACATTATTAAAGTCTTATATGTGATACAAGGGTCATAAAAAGAGTTTTAAAACATGCTAAAAACACCAAAACATGGAATTTACCATGAATACTCAATCATGCTTCATAACTCAACTCTCTAGTTAGAATGCATTCTAATATTCCACGAATGATAAGAAAAAGTTGTTAATGTATTATCGTAGTCTCTTAGTTGTTGATAATGCCATCAAATCAACCAAGGGTCAATTTATCTTTTCTTCTAGCCTTGGAATTCTCTCCCACTTCTTTCACTAATCAAAGGCAAGAAAATGAGTTACTAACTCATCTAAGAGCTTAGATTGAAGTTAAGGACACTTCCTAGAACTTAAATCCACTAAAAATGGGCTAGAAATCACTTGGTTTCTTTTACCCCAATAAAATACATTTTTTCTTTCTATGGTCAAAATTCGAGGTTAACAGCTTAAATTAAAGCTTGAGAGGTGAAGATGAATATTCTTACCTTGGTAAATCTAAACTAAACTTGTAATTCTAAAAGTTTTCACCTTTGTTCATTCTTGGAGAAGAATGAAACGGTGAAGAAGAAGAAGGATGAGACAAAATTGAGTGTTTGGTGAGAAATAGGGGAACATACATGAGATCACCAAAAATTAATGGGATTTTAGCTTTTTGTTTTGAAAAATGGATAAATTGCACTTTTAATCCTTTCCCTTTTATTCCGATGATAAAAATACCCTTCTTACAATCCAACATGCCAGAAACCAAGCCCAAATTATCATTTTAATGGTTCAAGTTCTCCGACATGGTATTCAGACTTGCCTAAACTGTTTCGAGTTAACCTGAAACAACTAACCGAAGATATAGGGCTATATATTACTCAACTATTATAATTTTTATAATCATCTTAGTGTTTCGTGTTGGTTCTGTTCTGATCGATTTAGTTAAAATTTATTTTTTTTAAAATTTTTTTTACTACGGGCAATCAAAATAGAATTAAAATATAGAATTAAAAATGTTACAGCCAGTACCCCGCTGATCCACCTGCAATTTCATCTTCATGCTCCAAGCCTCCGACGGCGATTCCTCTTCGGCTCTCCGGGAAAGTGATCGTGGTTTCTCTCTAGCTCGTTCAACCCCATAAAAGACTTAAATTAAAGACAATTGGTTTCAATGCCAACAGCCTAACCCAAAGCGACTCCTCCATTAAGAATCCCCACTCCTCTGCCAGTCATTTTCACAAACACATTCACCGCAATATAATTTCTAAATACCAACACAAGGGAAAATCCGTCGGTATGCTTCGAAGGTCAATTTTTGAATTATCACGTTGCCGAGGGGCTCCTTGGAGAATACGCAGGGAGATTGCGTCCCAGGTAAGTTCGACCATGTTAAGTTTCAGTATCAATTTTGAGTTTCTATGTACTATTTTTATAATTGTTCTTTTTATGATGGAAATGCAGCGTTTATCTCCATTTATTTATTCAAGAAAGCAATTTTCGACCTCTGCTGGGGAAAATGGTAATCCGAAACCTGAATCAAAGACTGGGGTTCCAAATTTTGTCCTTGGAACTGCTGTTATTAGTGGTGCTATTTTGATTGCTTACCGAGCTGGATACTTCGAGAAATATGGCAAAGGACCCAAGGTTTATATTGATTCGACAAATATTGTTTTTGATGGGAAAGATGAAAAGGATATCCAGGTTGTTTCTTCTCGTAATGAAGAATTGCTTCCTTATGTGGACTTGCCTGATCAAAAAGTTGCAACTAATATCGATCTTCCTCAGCCCGAAACTTCGAGTGAAACCCAAGGCACAACACCTTTACCAGAACAGGCATTACCAGAATATTCTCAGAGCAGCTTGCCATCTGCTGATCACTCTGCAGATGTTGCTGCATCAGCTGAAGAGAATCTTAAAAAGGTTGAGTCTGAACCTGCAACGGTACCAAACAACGAAATCCAAGATGTTCTTTTTGATACCCAATCAAGCGAATGCCTTGGAGAAAAGGATACAAAAACTGCACCATCTCCCACTACCGCAGTTGGGCTGCGGGTACCTTTTCTCTGCACCCTATATTTGTACTGATACAGATCACTTGGAGTTATTGATTTTATGAAATTTTGAAGAATGATTCAAGCATCTATATGCAGATTGTATTTTATGGTGTGATAGTTATGCAAGCAAATATTATTCTATTAAAAGGATAATCAGATGCACTTCATTATGAACTAAACAATATAGATTACTTTGTTATTGTTAGTATAGTTTTGCTAATCTATTTCTATTGCTCTGCAAGTCAACTATGACAACAATACTTAGCCAATAGTTACTTGTTTACCAACAAATTCCACTGTCTTTCATGTACCTGTGAACATTCATATTTCTTTCAATATAATTTAAATAAGCATGTAATCTAGCAGTATTTTGTAATTTTATGCATGGGTGCATAAGAAATGTTTCAGGATGCCAAAGAACCGTAGTTCCTTTTCTTGTTTGCTAGGTATGGAATCGGCCACATCTCTTTATGTGAAAGTTTCCAGTAACAAAGAGACTGAGGCTTAACTGATTTAACTTGCTAGGGACTGGAAAATTACCATCTTGTCAAGTACACTTACAATGTACAGGCTCAATATTACCAACTTCTGGTGGTCTACTGTTTCAGGATGAACCAAGTAAAGGTGCACAGGCCCATGAATTAGTCCCTAGAGAAAGCCAACTAAAATCTGTCCCATCTCTACCTCCCACTGCAGAGGTATCCTTTGTTCCTCTCATCAGTTTCTCTTTTTACTCTACATTTTATTGTTGTTTCTGATTTGTAACCTTTTGGAGTAGCAACACAAACCATTGTTCTTCTTCGGAAGTTGGTCCATGAAGCTTGTTAAAAATTCTTTCATGGTTGTTCATGTTCTCATTGTCTGAATTTTCTAGACTTTGGAATGTACCTTATATTTATTATGCTCTTCAGCACACTGTTGGTTTAGGGTGGGGGGGAGTATGGCTGGAAGGCTTTCTCCACTTTGTTTGTGAGTTTATATGCTTATAATTCAGAAGCTGTCCACTGCTTGTTAATACATAGCTAATTCTTCCGGATGACACAGAACCAATGTATTTCTTTGTTTAGTTTCTAGGCAAGGAAAGGCTCTATAGGGAGGTTTTGACCCCCAAGAGATGGCTTATGGTAATAACATTTAAGCACTTTAAAGCCTCATTTTTGTGTGTTTAGATGGGGAAAGAGAAAGACTGTCATGTGAGGTGGCAAAAGCTTGAACAGATCCTGTTCTTTTTATTGATATAGGGTTTAGGGTGACAAACAACTATTTTAATTTCTTTCTTTATTTTCTAGGCAAGGAAAAACTTTATAGGGAGGCTTGACCCCTAAAAAATGGCTTAGGATTGCAACATCTGAGGGATTAAGGTTTCTTTTATGCCTCTGTGTCTGGGAGCAATGTCATAGAGGGGGCAAAAGCACGAGCAGCTCCTGATTCACTTTTGAATATATATATATATATATTTATGTATGGATATATATGTAGTTTCTCCATTATTCTAGTAGACATACAAAATGACATTTCGTTTTGCTTTGCTGCAGGATGAATTCAGTAAAGATATAGAAGCTCCAAGTTCTCTTCTTGAAACCTATCACCTTAGGGAAAAGGCAGATGAAAACTATTTGACTTCTCTAAATAGAAAATATGAGCGGCTTTCTAAAGAAGCAGAGGTTACCTTGTTGTCTCATTTGCTGTTTAATAAATATGATAAGCAAGGGTTTCAACTAACACGAGGTTTTTATTCTTTTTAACACATTAGGCTTTTGGTACATTTGTTGAGGAACTGGATGATGGATATTTGTCGAAGGATGGAAAATTAGTTCTCAATTTCCTGAAAGCCATTCATGCTGCTGAAAAGCAGCAAGCTGAGCTGGATGCAAATGCTTTTGCTGAGGAGAAGCGAGCATTGAAGGTCCAAAGTTTGAGCACTAGGCTCTAGTACAAATTATCTGTATCTTTATTTCTACAACTTCACTCTGGTTATCACATACTGTTTTGTAATGTCTCTCTCTCTGTCTCTCCAGGAGATGTATGAAAAGGAATTAAGGGATTCAAGAGCCAGGGAACTAATGCGTACAGAAGAGGCAGCTATATTGGATAAGGTTATAGATGTTTTCATTGTTTTCACTTTATTTTATTTCTTGTGATTGATTGCAAAGCTTTTGGTCATTGCTTCAGTTTTATGATATGGTAATTTTTATTTCCTCTCACTTTCTTTTTCTTTCTTGCTCTTGCTTTTCAAATCATTACGTTAGTTTCTCTTTTTTATGTTTCTAAGTGAAAATAAAAGGTAAGTAAAGTTCCAACACTTCTGTTAATGTCTTTGAAATGAAATCAGCCTGAAGAGGAATGTTTCCTACCATCCACTTTAAGAGTGACACATATTTGATAACCTGGTTTCTACCCCAAATATAACTTTCTCTTTAAGCTTGCGAGCTCTGACATAGCCATCATGACTCCCTTTTGAAGTTTATGGTTAATGCTTGTGGTTATTCTGCTCATTTATCCCTAGAATCTGTATATCAGGGCTGGAAATGAGGCAGAATGGGTGGTCTGATGCTCTAACACAAACAACTTGATTAAACATTGATGGTTCTGTAGTGCTTTATCACCTATAATCCCATATCATTACAGACATGGACATGTAGATAGTGATTAATAGTTGAACCTCTTAGCATTTTTACCATAAAGAAATTTTTGTCCCATGTTATGGAGTTCATCCAATTTTATTATACCGTATATATTTGGATGTTTCCTGTTCTGTGTGTAATATGACAAAAGGTAAGTGTTAATATATCAATTTGGAGCAATTGTTGATTTATTCGTAAGGAACCAAAGAAGCCAAATTATTAATTATGGGAAAACCAGCCCCAACTAGTTTCTCTAATTTTTATGCTAGATAATGAAATTACAGCAGCATTTCTATTAATCAACTTAAGCTATTCATTCTGGATTTTGACGAGCCGCGAGCGTGGTTTTTTTTGTTGTATTTACCTGAGAAAGTCGCATTTCAGTTGCAGATGGAGTATACTCACATGTACATATGCCCTTTGAAAGGGTTAAAAAAGCAAGTGAAAGAAAAGAAAGGTGATTATTTAATTTTGTGAATTCAAGCTGCTAAGAATTTAACTTTACCACTTTCAGGAATTACTGAGAGAAAGAACAAAAACATCAGCTGCTATAAAATCCCTACAAGAAAAAATGAAAGAGAAAATTAGGATTGAACTTGAACAGAAGGTAGATAGTTTAATGTTGACAAAGAAATTCTATAACATTATTTCATGATTCATGGACTCAAGTTGTTATAATTTGGTGGTTGCAGGAAAGAGAAGCTGAAATGAAGTTGGAGAAAGCTCTGGAGCTAGGGAAAGCAGAAGTGATTGCAGCGATCGCAAATGAGAAAGCAGCACAGATTGAGAAAATGGCAGAAGCAAATCTTCACGTAAGCTTTCTCCTGGTGGAATTTTTAATGAAAATCTGAACAAAAATTAACTCTGCTAGTTTTAGGATGAAAATATGAACTAGATGCTCCTTTCAGTGCATTTGATAGAAGATGGAACAAGGAAATCTGAAAGTTTTCTTATATGATGGGTTGGAATATAAAATCTCATGGCTCTTACTTCAGGCATATATCATGCTGGGAAAAAGAACAATCCAACTGCCATACATAAATGCTTTTAGCTTTCAGCCTACTGCAATATAACTTCCATGCTTTCTGTCTTATGCATGGTGATGCTCCGTGTGTTTGACAGATATTGTGCATAGTATATAACCATATTTATTTTTTTTGATAGGAATTGAAGGCCTCATTAAAAACCCCCTTCTTTATTGAAGGAGCTTGTAGAGAAGCTCCTTAATCAGCGGAAGAAGGAAAAGAGTGCCTTAAGATTATATTAACCATAAAAAATACATAAGATACAGCCAAGGGACTTCCCCAAAAAAAAAAACCAAAAACGAAAACACTATCCAAACAGCGCTGTACAACTCTACAACCAACTCTACTCTGGCTGGCCTGTAACCGATCTAGCGACGCTACTAAAGACTTACACCCTAAACACGGCCAAGAAAACAACACAAAACAATCCCACAATAAGCCTGAAGCAATCAACCAATCCCCTCCTTAGCTAACTTGTCAGCTTCCATATTGCAACTCCTAGGAATCAATCTCAGAACAATACCCTTAGCAGAAATAGATGCCCCAATTTCCTCCACCATAGAACTAAAAAAAGCAGGTGCAGAGTTCTGCTTAGAAATCCAATTCACAGCTGTTTTACAGTCACTTTCAATTATTAATCTCCCCTTCTTAGCCCAGTCCGATGAGAAGAAAAACACAATCCCTTCCTTAATAGCTTTTTTTTTTTATAGGAATAGGAGGTCTCATTAAAAACCTCCCTCATAGTTGGCTCTTGTGAAAGAGGCAACTAGCGGAAGGAGGAAAAGAGTACCTCATTATATTAAAAAACCATGTTTACATAAGATTACAGCTTACCAAATAAATTGTCCGAAATAAAATACAAACCAAAACAACCATAAAGCTCAAACATCAACCAATACCCTCTTTAGCTAGCTTATCAGCCTCCCAATTGCATGTCCTAGGAATCCATCTAACAATAATACCCCTAGCAGAAACTAAGGCCTCAATTTCCCCAACTAAAGTATTGAAAAAAGTAGGGGCAGAAAATGGCATAAAAAAGTAGGGGCTAAGGTATTAGGTTTAGAATCTTTCAAAATACCACCTATACCACCTTGCAACCTATCCCCTCTTACCGCCCCATCAACGTTGAGTTTGAACATATCTAGGGGTGGTGGAGTCCAACAATTAGCCTTCTCAGGGACATGAGAATACTGAACCTTATCTGCAAGCTTTGGATCCCCAACTAGATTGTCCGAGTTGATACGAACCAAAGGGTATTTAGCTAAATACCATTTAGCCAATCTAAATTTGGCGAAGAAGAACAAAGAAGAAGTGTTGACCTTCCCATTTTCGAATACAACCAAATTCCTAGCTTTCCATATTGACCATAAAACAACCCCCGGGATGAACTTCCAAATACAAGAATTCTGCCTTAGAAACGACCAAGAGCACATAATTGAAATGGGGTCTTGAGGTAGAGCAGTAGAAATTTCCCATATCCTAAGGAATTTAATCCACAACTCCCCTGCAACCACACAAGAGAAGAAAAGGTGTTCAACAGATTCTTCACGCAAGTGACACAGAGGACAAAGAACATCTTCCAATGGAATACCTCTCTTCTTCAACTCCTCTCTAACTGCCAATTTACCGTGACAAAGCTTCCATAGAAACGTTTCCACTCTAGGAGGAGCCAATCCAGCCCAAACCAACTTATTCCACTCGAACGAACCTTCTGATCTGCTATAAAGTGACATCCTACAGGACTTGACCGAAAACAGGCCATCACCCTTCCCCGACCACCCAAGAAAATCATCCACAGAATCCGACAAAGTTACATTTTCAATCAAGGACATTAATGCAATCCACTGATCCAGTTCCCAGTCGAGTAAATACCTTCTTAACTGAATGTTCCATACCCAAACATTCTGTACAAAACCACCAAACTCAGCTACTGTCCCCCACTTATTAACCGATAAAGCAAAAATTCTGAGAAATTGTGATTTTAAGGTTGAGTCATTGATCCACACATCATACCAAAAAACTATCGATCTGCCATTACCAAGTTGAATCTTTGAATTAGCTCTCAATCATTCCCCAACCTCATCTTTTTTGACATAATTGTTTAGAATAGCTCTCCAAATCCAAGAATCGAGTGGAGAAATAGCCTTCGTAATGGACAGAGACAAGTTGCTAACGTTGTTCTTTCAGCAAATCATCTTTTTCCACCGACTATTTTTATCATTTACGAATTTCCACACCCATTTTCCAAGCAATACTCTATTGATCAACCTCAGGTCTAAGATTCCCAACCCCCCTTCTTCAAACGGTTGACAGACTGTTTTCCAATTCACCCAGTGAATCCTTTTCTTAGCTGGAACATCACCCCAAATAAAATTTGCCATCAAAGAATTCGCCTCTTTGCAATTTCTAGTTGAAAATGAAATATTTTCTATCAAAGTTTTATTAATATTTGCATTTACTGGAATGTATTGATCTATGATTTAAATGGTGAATGAATTTCCAACTTTACTAAAAGCAGAATGGAGTTTAACTAGTACTACCTATTTTGGAAAGAGAAGTGAAAGCTAGAATTGTCTCTGATATATTGCCTTGGATATTAAACATGAACAATCATTCCAGGATCAATGTGCATATCTAAAGTTAAAAAAGTATATTTTCAATCAGAAACTTAATAGTTTGCCAGCTACAAACATTAATTGTAAATGCGTTTCTTAGTTTATTGTTTTTTGTTCAGATAAACTTGAAGTTGGGAAATAAACATGTGTTTTTATACTTAATATCTGCTCGAGTATTCTTTTCATAATCTAAAATATTGTTTATTATTAGCCATTCAGAACCATGGATGTGATTAGAGGACATGAACATGGCCTGAATTATTCTTTTGTAGATACATGCTTTATGTATGGCATTTTATGCACGATCTGAAGAGGCACACAAGAGTCATTCTATTCTCAAGCTCACTTTGGTACCTTCTCCACCTTGATTAATAGTTCTTTGTCTCATTTTTTAATTTTTTACATTTTGTTGGAACCCGAGTTATTGTATAATGATTGATTGTCCTGTCCTACTAATAATTTTTCTCAATTGTAAATTATTGCCCCATAACTTTAATGTTATTGGGTCCTACAGGGAGCGCTTGCACTAGAAGAAGCACTTGCTAAAGGATTACCAATCCAGAAAGAAATTGATGCTCTACACAACTACCTTGAAGGCATTGAGGACTCAGTATTAGGTTTGGTTCTTTCATCTCTTCCCGAAGAAACTCGGTGCAGTGGAACAGACACTCTACTGGAGTTGAATCAAAAGGCAAGTTGTTCCGTCTTTATAGAAATATATGGTTATGAATTCCAAGTCCTTTCAAATGATAATATCTTTTTGTTACATAGTTGATAGTTAGCCCTTCATAGAATTTTTTGCAAGAACTGTATGCTTTACTTTTGGCATGATATTTTTCAAAGAACGGAACAATTTAAATGCTTTTATAGAGACAGGATAAAAATATATAAAATCTTAGTTTTTCCAAAACCTGAAAGCTGGGACTGGGAGGATGGGTGTTCATTGGCACCATTCACTTGCATCCCTTCTAGCTATATATCCGTCACAATTTTCTTCTTATGCCAGCATTCACAAAAACCAGGAGTGGTTTTATGACTGTTTCGGCATCTTTAAATAGAAAAATTCATATCCCAGTTGGTGTTACATTAATATGTGTGTGTGTGTGTCTATGCTAAATAAATTGAACTAAAATGCTCTACGTCACCCCTCTTACTTCCAAAGCCGTCCCTTTCTGTCCTTGTTATTGTGTCCGAATATTGCTTCCTGTTTATTAGGATTGGGTTTGTAGTCATATTTCTTTGAGAAACAAAGAATATGTAGGTTGTTTAGCAGTCAAATTTCCCAAGGTCTGATTTTTTTTAAAGAAAGAATTTCCTCAATCGTGATTTGTGAAGGGAAGCACTAAGATGTTATTTTGGATTGTCAAGGTGAGAGGCCTCGAGGCTCTAGCTGAAGCTCCTTCTTTGGGGATCTTTACATTGTAACGGCCATAGAAATCCCTAGTTTGCTTCAGTTCGTAGGGTTTGATGTTGTGGTGGGAATTTGCTAGGAACTGGATTTAGTTATCCTGTAGATATATATTAACCGAAAAAAGAGGGAGGACCAATGTGAAATGCATCATTTCAAAGCAACCCAAAGGATGTTTGCTTCTTGTTTTAGAGTTAATGGTTTTTTGGCAACTTGATACCAAACGAAAATAAAGTATTTAATGTTGGATAGAATTTGAGATTAATAATCAAACACTACTTTGAAGTGGTTCGTTTCAATGTGTCAAACTTGATGAGGATAAGATTGTCAAGAAAAAGAATACTTTTGAATTTGTTTCTTCTTTTACGTGCTTGTTGGTTTAATTTCCTACAGGAAAAGAAAGTACTGCTCCCTGCTCCTCTTTATGTAGCACATGATCTGCCAGCCCGATATAAATTGTCTCAGCTAGACCACTGATGCAGTGGCACCAGCAAATCATTTCTGACAGAATGTCTAAATTATTTTGATCCTTAATAATTCTACTGGATACTGATTTTTAATGTTTAATACATGCACTTCTTGCAGTTTAATGTCTTGAAAGGTAGCCTGAGGCACTACAGCCTAATTCCACCAGGTGGTGGTGGTATCTTGACGCATTCTTTGGCACATATTGCATCTTGGTTAAAGGTACAAAAAAATGGGATCAACCTTTCACATGATAATGTAACCAAGTTACTGAAATAGCCTCTCGTATGTGTTTTGACTATTAAATAGGTGAAAGAAGTTGGTGACTCTGGTGAAGGAATCGAGTCTATAATCAATAGAGTTGAGAATTACTTGGCTGAAGGAAAGCTAGCTGAAGCTGCAGGAACCCTTGAACAAGGTGTCAAAGGTAGCCAAGCGGAGGAGATTATCGGTGATTGGGTGAAACGAGCAAGGAATAGGGCCATCACCGAGCAAGCATTAACAGTACTTCAATCGTATGCTACTTGCAGCAGTCTTACCTAACCTCCAAGTCCCAAGTATTTATCTCAAACAATGCCTCAGACCCCAGGTATGAACTTCCAAATCTCATTGAATTAGTGAGTTAAAGCTAAATACTTTTTTCTTGATTTCCTAGTCAATACAACAGCAACCAAATTGGTGTTTTTGTTTCTGGGAAACCTATAATCCCATTCTTTGTTTTTGGTCTTTAATATGTGTAGATCGTCCATGATCTTCCAAATAAAAATTTTGTTTACTTTAGTGAAAAGTTCCATGTTTCATCTTTTCAAATAGACCGTTATAATCCTTAATGTTGGAAGGGGCGTTTAAAATTCATCTCGATTCAAAAAATCAAGTTTTCCAAGTCGACTCGAATTGACATCGAGTTGTAATTTCATAAACTCAACTCTATTTGAAAAAAATTCAGGTTCAAATCGAGTTGTATATACAACTCGAATAACTCAAACATTAACTTGAATAACTCAATTTTTAGTAGTTAATGGATTGATTTCAAGTTTGAGTCAAATCTCTCGACTTTATATGATATATGTATATCACTTATGAAAAAATATGAAAAAATATATATGTATTGTATATAGTTATAAAAAAATCATTTAAATTGGAATCAAATAATATTATAATATTATATGTAGTTACAATTAAATTTAAACATAAACTCAAAAATTTGACTTGACTCAAATTTTAAAAACTCTACTAGAAAAAAAATTTCAATTCAACTTAGAATTATAAAATAGGTTTTAACTCGAATAACTTGAAATTTTTGAACTCTATTTGATTGAATGCTCAGTCTTAAATGTTGTAAACTTATGATAGGGAAATTATTTAGTATAGGTTGACATGCATAGTTACCCCATCGTTGGGCTGTTAACGGAGTTCAGCGACACGATATCTATTTTATAACGTAATAAAACAATTAATAATTATTTTAAAATTTTAATAATAAAAAAAGAATGTTTTAATATAATTAAATGATAATTTATGTACTTTATTTTATATTTATATAATGATAGTGTTTTATATTTATATAATGATAGTGTGATGAGAATGGGCTTTGTAAGCAAATAGAGAAGTTAAACAAGACACATGCATGGCATGGTTGCTACATTGTTTTTAAATGAAGTTGAGGCCTTCCCTCTCCGTCCTGGTGCCACCACCCAAGTCCATGTGCTTTCACTTTCAACCTCAAGGCAAAACTAATAATTCCATGTGCTTTAAGATTCTCCAAGTCGTGGGGTGCTTTTTCGTGGTAACCTTTTTCTGCCTTCTTTATCACTGTCATTCTTTTTTAAGGTAGAACTATTATATATTTATTAGTTAAAGGGATAATCATTTATTACGTCTTGTTAAATACATACCGGATAAATATATTCATGATTATCATAAGTAAAATATAACGATGAACGACCAGGCTAAATACTTACCTGATAAATATATTCATGATTATTATAAGTAAAATATATCGGTGAACGATCGGTGATTGCCTAATGAGCAAGAACGTGAACAGTTGAGACAAAGGCATACAGAAACATATCACTTCGATATCCCGAACACCAAATATAGAGGAGAAAAATCTAAAGAATATCTAAAGCGGACGAATAAAGAACCAATCCTTCTTTGGATGCAGTCTTTTTCGATACAGATATTCGACAACCAACGGAATGTTATATACAAACGAACGAAGAAATCATGTATGGAAAAGCAAGCAACCTAAAAATCATGTAGAACCCGAGACCAAGAAGAACACCAATAGAAGAAACCTGCCCCGGAAGTTCAAAAACTTGTTCACCTTTCCCATATTATAGTATTTGAACTTTTTTGGTCCATGTTGAACTTATCTATTTTTTCCTTACATTAGTAGCTGAACCAGTTTTATCCACATCAGTACCTAAATTTGTTTATTTTTCACGTCGTTATATTTTCTAATGATTTTAACTCTTATACTTTTATAATTGTTACAGTTTTTTAAAATATTTATCATTTTAATTATTATATGTTTATATTTTTTTATTTTTTTTATTTTTAGATGATCATGTGATACAATCATAGAGCGTCAAAACGCCTCTTTCAATGTCGCTAAAAACTATCAAATGAATATAGTAGACAAATTCATGTATCAATGTGAATGAAAATAGATAAATTAATATATCAACGTGAATGAAAAAATATACAGGTACTAATATGGAAATTTTTTTAAATACCAATGTAAAAAAAAAAAAAAGCAAACAGCTAACTTAATAAGAAAACAATGCAACTTACAACAAAAAAACAATTTCTTGAACTGGGTTATATGTGAATAACTAAATTATTTTAATCAATGTAAAATAAAATGTTTTTTTCACTAACAATAATTTCAGTATCAAACAGTTTTTCATAAAACAATGAATCTATTTGGATGGATGGTAAAATTAATTTCGTTGAAAATGAAAATGACAGTAACTGTGAGATTGATTACTATGACGATGAGATTGCATACTATAACGGTAAGATTGAAATCAATAGTGAAAATATGTGTTTGGATTCGAATGCTGCAACAATGTTGAGGTGTTAAAAAATAATTATTTTAATATCAAGAGCAACTGGGATGTTGCTGCTGTTGCTCGAGATGCAATGTCTCCCTTAGTTGCACTTGCTGACTCTTTGGTTCTTGAAGTAGTGGAGCGGGCTGTATGTGCCCTATCAAAACCTTATGCCAGAGACAGCAATTTCTGAACAAATTATTCTGCCTTCTACAAGGGTTTTACGCGAAGGAACTGTTTCCGGAAAAACTCATGCGGCAGCAGCAATAGCACGTCTGCTCCATTCAAGGCAAGTTGATAATGCCATAACTGATTGTGTGAATCGTGCTGGATTAGTTCTTGTTGATAAATCGGGCAAAGTAAACGAAAAAACATAAGAATTTTAACGAGGTTCGACAATGTGCTTACGTCCTTGGTGCCTAGGCGGCGCTAGAAAATTTTTATTCAATGATAATAGGTTTAGGTTACATCTCTATTTATAATATAAAACTCTGGTACATAATTACAAAATTAACCATGTACCGTACCGCGGGGCACAGCCCCCGCACCCCCAACCCACATAATCGTAACCCCCTTTACAAGACTTTCTTTGTAAGGACAGTTGATGTTCGCTTCGCTCACTCCGCTCCATCCCCTGTCCTCTTTACCGGTATATTTATGAGCCATACCTTACAAATCTCCACCTTGGCGAATATCCTGCCCCTTAGGAAACATTTAATGTGGGTTGGGTTACCTTACTTCTTTAACAACTTGAAACATTCAACAAGTCCAAGCAATGCTTGAACTTGTCTGTTGTAACTGGCTTGGTGAACATATCAGCGGCATTCTCATCAGTGTGTACCTTCTGAAACAAAATATCTCCAGATGCAACAAACTCTCTGATCTTGTGAAAACGTACATCAATGTGCTTAGTTCTAACACGATATACCTGATTCTTAGCTAAGTGAATAGCACTTTGATTGTCACAGAGCAGCTGAACTCCACCTTGCTGAACACCCAACTCCTTCACTAAACCAGTGAGCCATAAAACTTCTTTTGCAGCTTCAGCCGCTGCCATGTACTCAGCTTCAGTTGTAGATAGTGCCACAACAGATTGAACAGTAGACTTCCAACAAATATGTCCTCCACCAAGAGTAAAAACATACCCTGTCGTAGATCTTCTATTATCCAAGTCACCTGCATAGTCTGAATCCACATATCCTACAACCAAAGGATTATCTCGTTGACTACCAAAAACAATTCCATGTCCCACAGTACCCTTTAAGTACTGAAAGATCCACTTGGCTGCTTCCCAATGTTGCTTACCAGGTTTAGACATGTACTTACAAACTTGACTAACAAACATGAGCTAAATCAGGACGAGTACATACCTTTGCATACATCAAGCAGCCAACAGCATTAGAATACGGAACCTTTGCCATATCTTCAGCTTCCTTATCTGTCTTAGGGCACTGTTCTGATGAGAGCTTAAAGTGGTTCGCCAATGGAGTGCTAACTGGTTTTGCGCTACTCATCGCAAACCTTTCTAGCATTTTTTTAACATAACCCCGTTGAGATAGCCACAGTTTCCTTGAGTCTCTGTCCCTGCAAATTTCCATTCCAAGAATTTTCTTTGCAGCACCTAATCTTTCATATCAAATTCCTGACTCAATAAAGTTTTCAAACCGATAACATCATCCATGTTCTTCGCAGCAATCAACATATCATCAAAATACAATAATAGAAAAATAAAAGAACCATCATCAAGGCTCTTAACATAGACACAATAATCATACTCACATCGGTTGTAGCCAATCTTGATCATATAGGAGTCAAACCGTTTATACCACTGTCTCGGAGACTGTTTCAACCCGTACAAAGATTTCTTCAATCTGCAAACTAAATGCTCATTTCCAGGTTGAGTGAAACCTTCAGGTTGCCGCATGTAGATCTGCTCCTCTATATCACCATGCAAAAAAGCAGTTTTAACATCCATATGCTCTAAATACAAATCCCAACTGGCCACCAATGCAAGTACTACTCGGATTGAAGTGTGTCTGACCACAGGAGAAAAGATTTCATCATAATCAACTTCTTTCTGCTGTGAAAAAATCTTTGCTACCAAACGAGCCTTGAACTTCTCCCCCTCTTTTTCTGTTACTGCTGGTTTCTTCTTATACACTCATTTGCAACCAATCGGCTTTTTACCCTCAGGAATGGGAACCAACTCCCATGTATGATTGTGATTCAAAAGACTCCATCTCCTCAACCATGGCTGCCATCCACTTGTCGTTTTCCTGACTAGTAACAGCATCATGAAAAGTAATCGGATCATCACTGCTAACAATAAGTGCAAAAGAGACCAAGTCTTCAAAACCCAATCTACTCGGAGGCTTTATATTCGTATGTCTCACCCTGTCTCTGGCGAGACTATAATCCTGCAAATCATCCGTAGTGGAACCACCAGAAGTCGGTTGAGACGTTTCTGGTTTCTCAACTGGAAACTGCTCGAAATCCACCACTGTCGTGTCTTTCTTCTGTTGCAATATGGATTGTTCATCAAAAACAACATCTCTACTGATCA